GAGAGAGAGAGAGAAAGAGAGGGAGACAGAATCTGAAACAGGCTCCAGGCTCTGAGCTGTTGGCACAGAGCCTGACGTGGGGATCGAACCTACAGACCACAAGATCATGACCTGAGCCAAATTTGGATGCTTGACTGAGCCACCCAGGTGCCCCTATGATGGTCATAATAAAACATGGGCAATAAGAGTTGGTGAGGAAGTGGAAAAATTGTAGGAGAGTTCCTCTCACATTGTTTGTGGGAATGTGAAATGGTGCAGCACTTTGCGAAAACTCTGGCATTTCCTCAAAATATTTAACCTAGAGTTACCAAATGACCCAGCAATTTCACTCCTAAGTATATACCCAGGAGAATGGAAAATAGCCTTTGCTATCCACACAAAAACTTGTACATGAATATATATAGAATAGTGAAAAAGTGGAAATAACCCAAGTATCCAATGACAGATGAATGGATAAACAATATATGGTATATCCACACAATGGAATATTATTCAGCTATTTAAAAAAAAGTGAAGTACTGGTACATGCTAGGACATGGATGACACTTGAAAACAGCATGTTAAGTGCAAAGAACCAGACCCAAAAGGCTACATATTGTATGATTCCGTTTATATGAAATGTTCAGAACAGACAAATCTAGAGATAAAAAGTAGATTTGATGGTCGAGGGCTGGGAGGAGGTGGTCGGGAGGAAATGGGGAGTGACTGCTAATGTGTGTGGGCTTTTTTTGGTGGGGGATGATGAAAATGTTCTCGGATTAGATAGTGGTGATGGTTGCACAACTTTGTGGCTATACTAAAAAGCACTAACTGTACACTTTAAAAATGTGAATGTTATGACATGTGAATTATATCTCAATGAACTCAAAAGGAGGGGAGAGGAAGGGATGATAGAAGGAAGGAGAGGGTGAGACCCAGAGCATAATTAGATTATCCTTGGTGAGAAGCTGACCACCTCTTCAGTGTGAGAAATTTTGAAGTGGGGATAAGTGCACAATGGATGGCTCTAATAGCAGCTAACACATATGCACTTGCTATGGGCCACACATTTTTATAATTGCTTTACAAATGTCTTTCATTTAAATAAACCCCAAAACAACCCTGTGAGATGGGTACTATTTTTATACCCATTTTACAGGGCGGGGGGGGGGGGGGGGGGG